TAACCCTAACCCTAACCCTAACCCTAACCCTAACCCTAACCCTAACCCTAACCCTAACCCTAACCCTAACCCTAACCCTAACCCTAACCCTAACCATCGGTGTGCTCATGTTGGCAGACCGGCTGCTGCACGAGAGGCTAGACGGTGATGTCGGTGATGTCGCCGAGAGGGTGCTCTACAACTCAAGCATCACGACCGGTATGTCGGTGGACGGCAGAGCTTTCACCTATGTCAACCAGCTCGCGAGCTCGGCCGAAGAGCCTTGCGAGCGCTTCGATTGGTTCGAGTGTGCCTGCTGCCCTCCCAACGTGATGCGCACCTTTGGCTGCTTGCAAGGCTACTTCTTTGGCAGCTTGTCCAGTCGGACCTCGGATCTTGCGATTCATCAGATCTTTGCAGGCCGCATCGACTATCTTGGCAACAAGGTTCATATGCGCACCAATTACCCGCACGACGGTCAAGTCAACATCCGCGTAGAGGCTATCTCCCCGTCGGCAACCATCTGGCTGCGTGTTCCAGGCTGGGCCAGGTCGACCTACACGTTCTCTGGCGATGTCCAGATGGTGAATGGCTACATTGCTATCGAGAAGCCCGGCGAATACAAGCTAAGCTTGCAACTAAGGCCACGACTCCTCTACTCTCATCCAGACAGTGGACCCAGCCGTGTGAGTCTCGCCTACGGTCCGCTCATCTATTGCATAGAGGATATCGACAATCCGTGGATCGACGACCTTCCCGAACGCGAGCAACACTTCAAACACCTCTGCTTCGACTTGCCAGCGGACCCCTCTCAGATCAGCGTGCTCGGACAGGACAGCGATGGGATCATCAAATTGCGAGTAGCTGCGGCAGGCTACACGCTTAAGGTCGAGGATGCTCGAGGTTTTGCTTCTGCCTTCGAGCAGGACAAACAGCCCGGATTCTATGAGGAAGCAGGGCAAGGCCACGATCTCGTCTTCATTCCTTACTTTTACCGCTGCAACCGAAAGGGCACAAAGGGAAGGATGCGCACTTCTCTCCGCGTCAAGCCGTGACTTCATTATAGACCTTTGTAGCACTGACTTGTGAGCTCAAGAGTACGCTGCAGCCGTGATGCAAGCGGTGTATTGCTGGGCGTGCAATGTCAAGTGGATTCCGAAGACTTTCTTCGCAACCTTTCGTGTGTCGTCAAGCGAGCCCGGGCCAGCAGGGAAGTAGAGCGGCGTCATGAGCAAGTCGATGCGCGCGTGCTTGTCTACATAAAGATGTCTGCTTTGAGCATGTCCCAGAAATCCTCAAACTCCATGCTTGAGAACGCCTCGATTCCCGTCTCTCCGGTGAGAGCGGCCATGGTTGAATTGCCGCTCACGGATCCAAGCCCATAGATGTTGGCCGACGGCACAGAGAAAAGGGTGTGTTCTCGTCCCATCGCATGTGCATCGAATTGTCCAAGCACGCCGTCCTGCCTAATTGCGGTGTCCTCGCTCGTGGTCGGAACGCTGGGATGGCCTGAAGCCTTCTGACGATCGAAGCCTGGACTAGTCCTGCTGGCGGTGCTGCTGGTGTGAGATGACGTCAACGACGCGATGGGTGGCACCTGGCCGCGAGAGACCGCGATGGTTCCTTCTCTCAGCCGCGACAGGATGGAGAGAAAGGCGGGTGGGTATCCCCAGCCCTCGTAACAGCCTTCGACATACGTTGTGGCCTCGGTGAGCAGTTCGACATCGGCGCGAGCGAGCCGGCTGCGCGGAGCGCGTAGGATACTCAGCGCGAGGACGATGCTGGCCAAGAAAGTCTGTGGGACGCTCACCAGGATCGAATGAACGCCTGCATCGGCGAGCTGAAGGGTGAGAGTCGTCAGGCTCCGTGCCGCGTTGAGGCAGTGAGATGCTGACCCGAGCAGTTGGCTGATTCCGGCCATCTCGCGTGCGCGTAACCGGACTTCGTTTTGGAAGCTGTGCTGCGGGAACAGGATGGCGATGCGCAGCACCGCGATCTTGGCCTGAGAACGGAGAGCGCGGCGACATAATCGAAGAGAGTCAGTATGCTGTGATGTGGTCATGTGCAACCGCCGTAGAATGAGTGAGACGTACGTGATAGAATTGCTGCGCCAGGAAGGCACCCAAGACTTGCGCGTTGCCCACCGGAGCGCCCAACGAGATGCTCTGCGGCTTGAGATTGTCCGGCAAGGCTGTCTCCCATCTCGTCAGGCAGCGCGCCAGCCGCGCAGTCTCACTGAGCAGCTCGATGGCATGGCCGAAGCGGTGATTGTAGAAGCGATCCGATATCTGACCCATGATGGCCGCGAGCGAGACCCATGCTGGGAAGAGCGCGAGCCTGTCATGCTCGCTTCCTGCATTATGACCAGGCGCTGCGTTATTGCTGATGTGTGCTAGTCTGTCGCCATCGCATTCTCCGAGGTCCTCATCGACGAAGCCTGTTTCGAGGGCGTCTTGCTCGTCAGATGGCCGCCACGGTCCGAAGCCCGGCATCCGAATGCCAAGGTCGGCATCCACCGAGCCATAGTCTTGCGTTGAATCGATACTTGAGGGACGTCCGCACTCGAGCTGGAGGAGCCGCTCCAAAGAGAAGCAGGACCACCACAGGCGGCGTGGGAGGCTGGCAGAGTCTCCCAACCGTATCCTCTGCTGCTGAGGCGCTTCGACGCTTTTGTGAAGACCGATGGACATGGCGAGTCGTATGGCTAGGCCGAGGATGTACCACGACTGACCCTCCTTGCCACAACCGCGAAGGTTGAGGGCGAGAAGCAGCAGTGCTTGCACGCTGGGCTGGTAAGGCGATGCTGTGAGGTGGGCATGCAGGGCGTAGCTGGCGGTGAGATACTCGGTGGCGGATACGTCGCAGGTGGCCAGTAGGGGATGCGAGGGCGATGTCTCGTTCATGCCAATGCTTACGATGCTGTAGAGCACGACGAGATTCGGGACGCGATTTGCCGGCAGTTTGCTTTGCAGGCTGCGAGCGCCCGTAGATGCTGTCAGCGCATCCTGTTGCAGCGCAAGGAAAGCATCCGCATCGGCTTGCACCACGTCTCTATCAACGGCAGGGAACAGCGGCCAGATCCGATCGAAAAAGGCGTCGATGCACAGCGAAACGACCGCCTTTGGAGGGAGATTTGGCAAAGAGGGGAGGAGAGGCATATCGAGCTCGTCGCTCTGTGCCATTCCGTGGCGGAAAAGCGGAGCGGTGGCGTCGAAGCCATAGACCGACAAGAGCACGTCGGTGAACTTGATCAGGCACTGCAGGCTGCTACCTCCCACGACCTTGGGACGCGAGGAAGGAGCGAAAAGTTATGTGTCAGTGACCGATGCAGAGCAGATATGAAGAGAAAGGGCAATCACCTTGAGTCTGTGCGTGGAGCCATCGGAGTTGACTATAACGTCGGGTGTCGTTACGGTAGGGTCCTGTTGCTGCTCTGAGGTGAGAACTTCCGAAGGGCCGTGATCGGGCCTGCGTGCTTGTTGCGCTGAAATTTCGTTGTAGGCTCGGGTGACCCAGGAAGGAAGTTCTGTATCACCACCGTTGCTGCTAGCGTTGTTTCTGCTGCGATTGTGACTGGAAGCGGCTGCGAGGCTGACACTCGAGCCGACCGAGGCTGGACTGCGCGCGGAAGCCGGATTTAGGGATTGTGCTTCATCAGCTGCAAGCCGCGGCAAAGCGGGCTGTGCGAAGTTCGGTGGCTGGGCGGCTTCCGACACGGAATGCGAAAGGAGGCGCGGGCGGGAGAAGGCATGATCTTGGAGATCAGATTCAACGTATTCTGGTGCTACAAATCCGTCGTTTTCGTAATCGTCGTCTCGGCCATCTTGGCTTTCCTCGTCGTCAAGGCTCTTGTGGAGCACGTCTTGGCACGAGGCATGATCGGTCTGATGGAGGCGCCGCCCTTGCGAGATGGCGCCTCTTTGATCTTGTTGCTCTGCTTGACGGGCTAGGAGACGTTCGACGTTGACACTCGGCGGTCCGGTGTGTCTTCGGGTCGTCTTTCGTCTGACCGGGACGGCGACACCGGGCTTACGAGGGTCCGAAGTGACGCAGACGTCGCCGCGACGAAGACAATTGTGACATTTGGGCTGGTGGGCGTCGCACCTAACTTTGCGCTTGCGACAGGTGTTACAAGCGAGCGCAAGCCGATCCGGTTTGCTTCGCGGGGCTCGTGGAGGCGAAGAGGCGGATGATGGGACGTCGGTCGTTGCCGTACTCGAGCTTGCCAGTGCCGAAGACATGGAGACGAGGCATTGGGCGGCCTCGTCGACAGGCTCGGTCCATGTGTACGCCTTGCCTCGGACGAGCGAGGAGGGTGCGATGGTTGTGGGATGATCGTCGACTAGCACCGTCATGATATGCGCATCCGAGACTGGGTGTATGGTGGAGAGATTCGGTCGAGCGAGATGTGTGGAGCGGTTGGTGTCGAACCAAGGCGAGGCACCAATGTGCGGAAGCAGCGTGCGGAAGCAGCAAGGTGGGGTGGGCGGACAGGGTCCATGTGGCTCGGTGCGGGACGGGCGCTTCGGTTCGGTCCAACTTGAATTGTTTAAATTTGTATTTATTTCGGAAATTCATCATTTTTTTAAGGTAGGACCAAGGGCGAATGCGGGGGTGGGGATTGCAAATTGGGCTCCGAACCGAGATCTGAACCGAAACCACGCGGCTCACCTCGGCCAATTACCCCGCAACCGGTCACTCAAGGTGTCTTCGGTGCCAGCCTTCCACCTCGCCACGACTGCACAGCCCCAAGCTCACAGGGAGGCGGCACTGAATCAAATGAATAGCATTTCTCGATTCCCATTGCTCTTTGTGTGGTGAGTGTGCGACCAGGCGGGCGGGCGAACAGTCTTACTCCCGCTTGTCGCTGACGGACACCCATCGTCCCGTAACCTCACGAATCTTCTTTCCAAAGATGAAGAGGCCAATGGCCATCACGCCGGTCATGGCAGTGAGACCGGCGAACATGTTGAAGGCGCCGTCGTATCCGAGAGCTTCGATCATGTCCAAGGCGCGGTAGCTGACGCCAAATGAGAGGATGCCACGGAATGCGCAGATGATGACGAGCACCGAGCTCGCGCGCTGCGGGTAGGCGTCGAGCAGGTACGTGATGGCCACAATGTTAGCGCCGACGAACGAAAAATAGAGAGCAGCTATGGCCCAGACGTAGACCATCCAGTGGTATTGGTCTGGATGAGTGGCCGCCTGGCCATAGAGGACAGCGGTGAACACACCGATGATGAGGGGCAGAGCGAGCGGAATGAGACGTGTCTCGGGCTCGTGGATGCCTCCGCGGCGGTTTGCGAACCACTTGATGATCCAATCGCTACCGTAGCCAAAGACGGGCAGCGCAACAAGCGAGGTGACGATCTGTCCGGTATTGGCATAGCTGATCGTTTTGCTCGGCCAGTTGTAAGGTGCGCTGCCGACGAGCCTGCCATAGGTCAGCCCAATGGTGATGTTGGCGCCCAGCGTAATGCCGTTGATGAGCAGCGCCCAGAAGGTGCCGGGAAGCAACAACATGGTCCACGAATCGCGGAAGACGACCCACGCCTTGCCCCACTCGGGCTTGCCTACCCACAGACGCAGGTTGGAGCGCAAGGTGCGTGGCTCAAAGTTGGTGTAGTCGAGCTCCGGGCGCTCCGTGTGGATGCGGAAGCCGTCGCGGTTGTCTTGCTGAGCTCCGTCGGCGTTCTCCTGGTATGAGGACTGAGGTCGGTAGTACTTGGTCTCCGGCAGGAAGAAGAACGAAGTGACAAAGCAGAAGCCGCCGAGGCAGCAGCCGATTCCGTACCACCACTGCACGCCGATCGATTCGGCGATAGGCGAGGCAAACAGGATGAAGACCGTCACCGCGATGACCTGGATGGTCTGCTGGAGCATGAGGAAGCGCGCACGCTCGTGGAGGAAGACGATCTCCTGCGTGATCATCGGCACCAACGCCTCACTCTGACCCGCAGAGATGCCCAGAAGCAGGCGTGCACCCAGGTGCCAGCCGTAGTGGCTCGCCGAGGTACCCGCACCGGCACACAGGCCGATGGCAACGACCATGATCGCCGTGGCAACGAGAAAGACGCTGCGACGACCCACGGCAACGGCCAGAGGCATACCGATCAAGTTGCCGATGCCCATGGTGAGGTTGGGCAGGGTTAGCATGTAGCCGACCTCGTTGTACGTCTTGCCGATGGAAGCGTACGCCGGGATGTAAAAGTTGAGCACACCACCGAGACCACTGACGTAGGCGAGGCCAATGACGGAGAAGAGCGACAGGTTGATGATGCACATGATCTTCTGCCACACGGGCATGTTCAAAGGGTCTTGCGGGTCAGCCGTCGGTGCCGGGATGTAGACAATCTTGCCCGCGGTCAGCTGGACCGTACCAGTGGTGGTGACCTTGGTGATCTCGACCTCGAGTTTGTCCGACCCTTCGTAGGTGCTGGTCTCGACATCGATCGACGGATCCTTCTTGATATCGTCAGCCATGGTTGCCATATTTGCGAGCGAGGATGAGGCGGTGGCGGAACAAGGTGATGCGGGGAGTGGGAGTTGTAGACGGGCGCTGCTAGTATAGACAGGCACCTCGGGCTCAAGTCTGAAGTCGGATGCTCGACGATAGTCTTGACGAATTGACGTTGGCTGATTGGTCCTCACACCGATGGTTTATATGGGCGAGCGGCAGATGGTGACCGGTCATGCGAGATGTGCGTCAAGTGTGCATGAGAAAGCTCGGTTCTGATCGAGTGGCCATCAGATGGTGGAAGCATCAGATGCGATCCGAGACCAATCTGCTACGGAGGAGCGAGAAGGGCCGGAAAGGCACACATGCAGACACGGGCACTTGAACCGACGCCGAGGTTTGTGGAAGTGGAAGAGGAGGTGGAAGAGTAGGAAGCTGGACAGCCACAGGGCGGCTCATGCATTCTTGGCAGTGTGCAAGGCTCACGCTTGTACGAACGAGGGGGAGCATGTGCTCGGCGACCATGTGTTGCTGTTCGCGTGTTCCTGACTCGCAGCCGCAAGGGTCGTCTGCCTTGAATTCCGACCCGAGATGCTGTCGGGGATGTGGGGAAGGGTGCAACTCTCCCGTATCCTTGCTTTCGACGGTCTACAATGTGTTGGGAAGAAGAGACACGCTCACACGGGGCCCCACACTTTGGCAGCGGCCGCCAAGGGGACCGTTGGGACCGAGGAAACCGAGGCAACCGAGAAAACCAGAACGGGGTAGCGCTTTTGGGGCTCCGCACCACTTCGGCATCGTCGGAGAGATGGCCTATCCGGTGGAGCGCATTTGTGTTGCACCCTTTTGCCTTGGCCTAGGCGCCTGACGTGCCGCGTCTGGAGAGCTTTGCCGCCGAGCACAGCGCAACCACTGTATACTCGACCGAGCTGGTCGGTTCGCGTCATCTCGGCTCGGCACCTGTCAACTCGAACCGAGCCCCGCCACCCATTCTCCCACATGCTGCGAGCTCTAGCTCAATTTGGCTTTCTCACAACCCGCCGTGAGGCGTCTCGTGTCATCAGTGAAGAACCTCCTACGTCGATTTCAGCTGGTGTTGCGCCGAATCTCAGCTTCCGTACACACCGCGAGTCGGTCGCAATCAAAGCGATCCTTTACGAGTTATTGAGTTATGCTACAGCCGGTGTTCAGAGCGCTCCCTATCAGGCCGTGGCCTCCTCGATGCTCTTCCTCTTCTCTGGCCCGTTTTCGACGCTCGCCTCCTCCGACTTGTCTACCTTACGCTTCTGCTTGATGAAGACGCAAGCGGCGAGCATGATACCACAGATCGCCGTGTAGAAGATCCACATGTTGCGCAGACCGTTCATGTACTGCTTCTTGGAGACGATCTCGACCGTCTCGTGTCCTGCACTCGTCTCTTGGGTTGAGTGAAGCGAGGTGATGCTGCTGCCTGCTGGCAGAGAATGTTGGATCAGCACCGATCCGATGACTACCGAGATCGAGGTGCACAGGTTGCGCAGGAAGTTGTACGCCGACATGGCAGCCGCCATGTCCGCCTGGTGGAGATAGTTCTGTAGCGCAATCAAGGGCGTCTGGAACAGCAGACCGGCGCCGATACCAGTGATGACCTGGAACGTGATGATCTTGGCCCACTCTCGCTCGGTCTTGAAGCTGATGAAGAGTCCACTGCCTAGTGTCATGAGTGTGGCGCCAACGTAGCACAGGATCACGTAGTTGCCTGTCTTGCGGATGAAAATCGATCCAACGACGGGCATGCATGATAGAGGCACGATGAGGGCGAATAGCGTGACTCCCGAGATCAAGGGAGAGAGGCCAAGGATGACCTGCGAATAGAGCGGCAGGAAAAAATCAAAAGAGATGAAGCAAAGCGAATGCAGGCATGCCAATACGAAGGCCGCCATGTTGGTTGCTTTCGAAAAGATGCGTCCCGGGATGACAGGCTTGGCGGCAAAGCGAGCCTCCCACACCATAAAGACGACGAGGAGAGCGAGTCCGATGGTCATCATGCAGACAACAATGGGTGCGGACCACGGTTGAGCATTGGTGGCGCCAATCTCGAGACCGTAGAGGAACAGGATGGATCCAGCGATGATCAGAACGAGCCCAGTCCAGTCAAGGGTGCGTAGTCCCTGCATGACGGGCTCGCGCTCGACCTCGACTTTGAGGACAAAGAAGAGCACGACGATCGCCAGGCCGTCAAACGGCAAGTTGATGTAGAAGCACCATCGCCATCCGATGGTTTGGACAAAGACACCTCCCAGGACCGGACCGATGGCGCTTGCGATTCCCCAGACGATGCCTGTAAGGCCGTAGTACTTTGCGCGATCCTTCAATGCAAAAAGATCTCCGATAATGATTGTCACCATCACCAAAGAGCCTCCGGAGCCAAGACCTTGTACGACTCGTCCGCCGATCAGCATGGTGCCATCGCGTGCGAGCGCACAGATCAGACTCCCGGCCATGAAGGCCACGGCGGAAGCGATCACGATGCCACGTCGACCAAAGATGTCGGAAGCCTTTGCCCAGACGGGCGTGGAGGTGGTGTTGGCGAGGGTGAATGCGCTGCTGATCCACGCATACTGTTGTGAGGTCATTCCGAGCTCCCGTGCGATGGTAGGAAGCGCTGTTGATATGATGGTCACGTCCAGCGCCCCAAGGAACAGTGTCAGGCAGAGCGACACCATGATCACTCTGCGTTGTAACGTCGACATGACCGGCGGCACGTAATCGCTCATCCTGGTCTCGACTGGCGCCAGAGGGTTATCTCCAAGCTCCTCAGTTGCTGCCTTCTCGATCGGCGTTGTCGCTGACATCGTTGACTTGATTCGCGCGAAGGCTCTTGGACTTTATCCGTGTTGTTCTCGCAATGTTTGCCGTTGGAAGAGATACGAGGGACGACAATGATGAAGGGAAGAAGGAGAGCTGGCTTTCTACGATGCTCATTGATAGATATCAACGTTTCTCAGGGTCTTCGAAAACAGCTGAGCAGATGTTGGAGCTCGCGAAGCTATCGGAGATCCATGCCAGGTGTCCGCGGACTAGAGCTGCTTCGATCCACAGGTGCTAGGAGGAGAGCGGGTACAGGCCAGGATCTGTGTTCTTCAACCCCGCGGAAGCAGTTTGCGGCCTTTGTGAGCAGCATCCTGTGCCAGCAGGCCGAGCCCATCCAGCGAGCTTGGTGACGGCGAGACCGGGGACGCGCAGGAAGACGTGTCGGGATGTATGCATCTGCCGAACCGAGATGGCGACTGCTACGCGCCAAGCTTTCCATTCTAGGCGCGGAGCTGCTTCGGCCATGTGGGGGTCAAAAAAACGCCGCACCCTGCAAGTTCGGTACGCGACAGATGCAAGACCCCCGGAGCTCGGTTCAGGTGGTTCTGCGGGGAACGCCACTGGCCCGCAGGGTGGAGCCTGGTGGAGCAAGGCCACTCACGCTACTTTGACCGCAAGCCTTGGCCATCCCCGCATCGACCCCGGCTATGCGTCTAGCTGTTCATCTGCGTCTCTGTGGCTGTGATCCCGACACACCGCGGTATATCCGTGGGAGTATTGTGACCGATCGCTTCCCGGCCCGGGTCAACTTCAAAGTCGTTGGCAGAGAGCATGGCGGTGCACAAGAGACTTCCTAAGGGGTTCTTCCGCAGCTGTCTACGAGCGTGTCTCCTTTCGCTTTGGGAGAAAGGAAGCCCATCTCAAGGTCTCACGAGGATGGGTCGAGGGACTGTCTGCGGTGATGTAGCCAGTCACACGTCTGTCTGACGGCTCGTCCATCTTGTCGCTGCTTGATGCTTCTTTAGCTTCGGCCACGCTGCGAACGACGGAGATACATGCCTTGTAGCCCCATCTGTGCTTCACCATGACTCAAGATTTGTAATCTGATGACCGTACCGAGCGTGATGCCCCCCTGGGCCGTCGCTCAGCTGTAATCGAGTGATTGCCGTCACAATCATGCCAATCAGCAAAAACGTTGCTCTCAGTTCTCGTCGACGGCATTTGTCATGTTTCTTTCAAGTCACTCTTGTGTGAGTCAACAAGTCTTATGTGATCATTTGAATTGCGCGGAAGAGAGGAACGATGCCAGCTGGAGATGGAATGAAAAGGGCCGGGAAACTCAAGATCAACGTTCTAGTAGCTCTTGACGCCAGCAAGTCGGAGGACCTGGTCCGTCAGCTCGGGCTTCTCGAAAGGCTCGCTGCGGTACTTGGGGCAGATCTTGCCGTTGCGCATGGGCTTGTCCTCGGTGGGGCGGATGTTGCAGTGAGGCCAGTGGGTGGTGCCGATCCAGTTCTCAAAGCACTTCTTCTTGGCCTCGAGAGCCTCATCGTTGGCGTAGGCCCTGGGTGTCATGCAGATGTACTGGACGTGACGGATCTGGTTGCCCTCAGGGAGGCGCGCATAGTGCATGGTGCGCGAGTCCCACAGGACAAAGTCGCCAGGCTCCATGTTGCACTTGATCATCTCGCAGCCGCGCTCCTCGAACCACTTGATGTCCTTCTCGCTGAAGAGGAAGAGGTCCATGTACTTGAGCTCGGGAGGGGGAGCGTCTTCGTGGTCGGCAGAGTCACGCTTGTGGGCAAAGAACTCGTTAAAGAGCTTGGCGGAGCCGCGCATGAGCATGAGACCGCCGTCGTTGGGACCGTTGGGGGCGTAGTTGAGCAGACCCTGCACAGCCTGCATACCCTTGCGCTCAGGGTTCTGGTCGCAGTGAGGCCAGGGGCTCCAGTTGAGGTCCTTGCGGTTGGGCATCGAGATGTTCATGCCGTCAAACGAGCAGATGAGCTCCTTGGTGCCCCAGAGCTTTTCAAAGATCTCGACCACCTTGGGCTCGGTGCGCGCCTCCCAGGCCATCTTCTCGTGCGTCGAGGCGTAGGCAAAGTACATGCCGCCCTTGAAGCTAATGGGCAGGTGGTCGGCGGTCCAGGTGGAAGGGTCATTCTCGTCAAAGCCGAGCTCGAAGTTCTTGAGCCACTGGATCTGCTTGTCGGCGTAGTACTTGGCACGCTCGGGCGAGATGACGTTCTTGATGATCACGCAACCGTTCTTGTGGAACTCGTCGCGCCAGTCGCCGTACACAGTGTTCTCGTCGAAGCTGATCAGGTCCTTGGTCTCGAAGCGCGCACCGAAAGTGCGATCCTTGTTGCCCTTGGGCGCCTCGAACGCGGAGGTGGTGGTCGTGGTTGTGGTGGTGGTGGTCGACATGCTGGCTTCGTGCGTCGTGTTGAGTGTGCTTCGTGCGACTTGAAAGTATGGGGCTGAGGAGTTGGTCGTCTGGCCACTACGACGATCTATATACCTCGCATCCGCTTGCTGTGGAACCAGTTGACACTTTCGCTCTCTAGCCCGCACAGTTGGTCTCGGCGTTCAGACTTCCGGCGGCGGACAGCGGACAGGAGACGGTTGTGCGCATGGACGCCAGGGACTCCTCAGACCTCGGTTCGGGCCACACTGAAGGCAGTCATCGCAACCGTCCCCAGTGAGCTCTGTAACTCACCGAGCTCGGATCGCGAGGCCCAGCTGGAAGTCTCGGCTGTACGTTGTCAGAGGCAGCCGCCTAATTGCCATGCAAAGTAACACTTCCCTCGGTTCGGGTCAAATTCCGCTCGGTTCGAATGGTAGCAGCTTGCCAGGGTCCTAAAGCGTCCGGCATCGACTATCCCGCCACCGAGCATGGGGTTGGGCATGGACCCTTTTCCGATTCTTCTACCCCGCGTTCACTCGGAACTAGCATTGCCGGTATACTCCCGGGCAGTTCGAAGCTAACGCATAGGTTTCGCAGTCGCCAGCGGTACCCTGTCTCCGTCAGGCAAGCTACGTCGGATCGAGTGGGGTGGTAGACCCTGAGCGACCCCGGTCTGCTCGAACCGAGCTTCCTACCCGCCCTCGGACATTGCACATACTTCGGTTCGTGCGTCGCGTCTGCCCCACATCCCACTGTGTTGCATCTTTGTGTCTTGTTCGGCTATGTGGACCCTTTGGCTGCGACGGTGTCAAGCTAGATTTGCATTTAATGATGAAGAGCTGAACAGTCTAGTGTCCACCTCGATCAACAAGCTTGCTTCCCATCCTCTGATCGTCATCATCAGCATCTTTTTATCGCAGCCACCTCCAATAGCTGGCAGCCAAATAGTCCAAAGAAAACAAGCCGAGATGCCTGTCGTTACACAGGTGGCCTTCAAGCCATTGAACCCGCCCAAAGTGGGCGACAATGGGTACGTCGAGCCCAAGCCTGGCAAGTCGGAAGTGCTCAAGAAGGGATCGGCGCCGTTCGGGTGCCGCACGCTCGACTCGGACGTGCGCATCGACCACGACGTCGAGATCGTGGTGCGCGATGGCTGCCGCCTGTACGCCGACATCTACCGCCCTGCGACGGACGAGAAGAATGTGCCCATCATCGTCTCTTGGTCCCCTTACGGCAAAAAGTACTCGGCGATCGACATGATCTTCAACGTATGCCTCTGGCGCTGCTGCATCCGCGACGAAGATGTCAGCGGGCTGGAGAAGTTCGAGGGCCTCGATCCGGCTTGGTGGGTGGCTCGTGGCTACGCGATTGCCAGCGTCGACGCGCGCGGGGCTGGCAACAGCGACGGTGACACGCTCGTGCTCGGCTCGCAGGAGGCCGAGGACATCCACGACGTGATCGAGAAGCTCGCAAAGCTCCCCTGGTGCAACGGCAACGTGGGTATGGCCGGAAACTCGTACCTCGCCATCTCGCAGTGGCACGCAGCCGCACAGAACCCGCCGTCGCTCAAGGCGATCGCGCCGTGGGAGGGGTCGGGCGACATCTTCCGCGAGCAGTTCTGCCGCGGCGGCTGGTTCAACATGAGCAACTTTGACCTGATCACTACGCTCGTCATCAAGGGCCGCCACGGCGTTGAAGACTTTGCCGAGATGCACCGTCGCTCGCCGCTCGCCAATGCTTTCTGGAACGACAAGCGCGTCGACATGACCAAGATCAACATTCCCTGCTTCATTACCGGCTCCGACTTTAGCCAGATCCACACCATGGGCGCCGTTCGCGGTTGGATGCAGGTCAACACGGACAAGAAGTGGATCAAATGGAGCGGATACCAGGAGTGGTTTGAGCTGTATTCGTGTCCCGAGTCAAACGTCGAGCTCAAGGTAAGTCGTTGCGCCCATGAGCTGCGCCGAGACTCTTTGCTTCCGCCATCAAGAGATGCTGCTGACACGAATCACCTTCTTGTTCGGATTTGCAGCTCTTCTTTGACAAGTATCTCAAGAACATCGACAATGACTGGGAAAAGACACCCAAGGTGCGCTGGGCGACGCTGCCATTTGGTGATCGCGATGTCAAGCACGACATTGTGCTTCCGGATTTCCCTGTTCCCAACACCGACTACCGCACCTTCTACCTCGGTCCGAACGAGTTGCTGTCCGAGACGGCGCCCAAGGAAGCCGGCACGTCGTCGCACAACTCGGAGGAGCGATTCTCGATCTCCAAGTTCCGACACACGTTCAAGGAGGCGACGCGGCTGATCGGGCTGCCCAAGGCGGAGCTGTACATGAGCTGCGATGCGCTCGACGATCTTGTGGTGTTTGTGCAGCTGCGCAAGCTCGACGTGAACGGCAAGGAGCTGAGCCAGCTGCAGTTCCCGTTGTCGCGCGCGCCCGTCAAGTCGATCGACGACATGCAGCCCAAGGAAAAGCAGAGCCTGAGCGTCCACAATGGCTCCATCGGCATCCTGCGCGCCTCGCAGCGCAAGATCGATGCCGCTCGCTCGCTCCATCCGCAGTTCCCCTTCCACCCGCACGACGAAGTGTGGAAGGTGCCGCGCGGCGAGATTGTCAAGCTCGACATTGGCATCTGGGCAATGGGTGTCGACTACGATGCGGGCGAGTCGATCCAGGTGGATGTGCTCGGCCAGTGGCCCGGCTTCGACGAGGTTGCCGCCTTTTCCAAGCCTCGTCCCGAGTCCGAGAGGAACAAGGGCACGCACGTCATCCACTTTGGCCCCGACTATCCCAGTCGTGTGATCCTCCCCTTTGTTCCGCTGTAGGCAACGACCCAAATTGCAAGCAAAATCAGCACGACCTCTTCACTTTCGTCCAAAGCCTCCGAGCGACACGAATTCCAATAGCATCTGAGCACCCGACGACCGTGAACCTAGAGCAAGTCTATGGCATGGCACCGTTGGGGTTCGTGACTTTGCTTTGCCAATCTTGCGAGGATGCGGGAATTCCGCATCGATGTGCGGGAAGACGTTGCCGCTTTTGTCGAGGAGGGCGAGTCGAGCGGACTTCGGTGCGGGATCTTTGAATCTGGATTCGAGATGTACCGATCGGGCCGATCATCTGCCCCCGCTTCAAGCCGAGGAGACCGGCAATGGCGGCGATTTTCGGTCGGGTTTTCGTGCCTCATTTTTGGCAATTTAGAATCGAAACGGCAGGATGATGTTGTCTCCGCGTTGGCGAGTCTGACATGAGCAGTCGATGACGTCCCTATTGATGAAGACGCCGAGCACGAGGCTACCCCGCGTGGCACGACGATGATCACCGGCGACCTCATGGCTCGATCAGCCACCTTTTGCCCCTCGCTCCGGCACCGACTTCACCGCTCCGTGCCGATGCCAATGCCCAATCGCCGGCTCGACGACTCCACATGGAGCGGCCGACTCCACATCCACTTGCCGCTTCTCAGATCAGCAGCAGAGTATATATGGGGCCAGGCTCGTTGATACATGCTCCTTCTTCGACACCACACACTAGACAAAGTTCACCACAATGTCAACTCAAGCATCACAAAACGCAAGCGGAAACGCCGCTTTGACGCTCGGTGAATCCGCCCGCCCGGTCAAGCCCAGGGTTGTCGTAACTGGCGGATCTGGCAAGCTTGGACGAGCCACTGTTGCGCACCTCGCTGAGCATGGATGGGTAAGCACTGCTCTTGTTTCCCGTCGATGATGCCGTGAGCGGATAGCTGACAGCGTTACTCTCCACAGGAAGTGATCAACTTCGATCGCGTCCGACCCAAGACCGCTTCCGAGGACGGCAAGAGCGGTCTGGGAGGAGCATACCGCCTCGTCGAGATTGACCTGACTGACATGGGTCAGGTGCTCGAGGCGCTTTGCCAGATCGATATGGCCTACAAGGGAGTGCAGGCCGTGGTTCATCTCGCCGCCATGCCCTCGCCCGGTCAGAGCTCGTCGAGCAAGCAGTTCAACACCAACGTCGCCTCGACTTACAACGTGCTCGAAGCCTGCCGCAAGCTGGGCATCAGCAACATTGTCATGGCCAGCAGCGAGACGCTCATCGGCATTCCACTCGACATCCCTCCTGCCAAGTTACCCATCACCGAGGAGAGCCCTCTGCTTCCCGAGAGCGCCTACTCGCTCTCGAAGCTCGTGGGCGAGACGCTGGCAGAGCAGTACGTTCGCTGGTCGACTCAGTCGCATCGCAACCCCGGTGCCGCCGCCAAGATCATCAGCATGCGCTTCAGCAACGTCATGCTCGAGGAAGAGTACGCTACCTTTGCCGACTGGCAGGATGACCCCAAGAAGCGCTACTGGAACTGCTGGGGCTACATTGACGCTCGCGACGGCGCAGAAGCCATCCGTCTCGCCCTCGACAAGGACATCCAGGGTCATCACGCATTTATCATCGCGAACAATAGAACCCTGATGGCGACGCCATCTGCGGAGCTAGTCAAGCAGGTATTCCCTGGAGTTCCTTACACTCCGCTCAACGACCACCCGAACGTGACCCTACTATCCAATGAGAAGGCCAAGAAGATGCTCGGATGGGACCCAAAGCACGATTGGAAGCCTTGAGGGGCACCACACCGAGAACGTGACAAACAACATTATCATTGCTAGTGAATCGAAGAAGTGCTGTTTCGCTCCGTTCTGTCTCGTGCTGGGACAGCGATAGTCCAACAGTTGGATCGCTCCGTTCTGTCTTGAGAGGGGACAGCGATACGTGCTTGCATTCCGGTCAGTCTTCACTTTCGTCGCAATCTGAAATAATCACAGTGGAATCGCCAGAGATCGCGATTGAATCGTCCGACACCGACGTGAAGTCCTCGCCAGTGTCCAGGGTTGCCTCTTTGCCGGAGTCGTATCCGGGTCGGTCTTCAGGGTAGATTCGGTACCACGTCTTTTGACGCCAACGAACCGCTTTCTCGAGATCGCAGAAGACTTGAGCAACTTCGACATGAGGCGTCACTTTCGTGTTCCAGACTCGCGCCTGGTAGTTACCGGACGGCAGACGGAGGATGCCAAGGTAGCCTGTCTTGGACCTCGCTTTCTTGTTTCGAGCATTGATTGCGTAAGTCGTTCCTCGAAGATTCGCGCGGCGGTTGTCCAGCTTGTTGTGGTTGATGTGATCGATGCAATCTTCTCCGGCTCTAAGTTGAACAACTAGTGAGTGCAGTGGCTTGTTGGCTACGATTGGATAGCCCCTTTGGAGTGAAACCACCCTCCTTCGATACTTCATGTAGATGTCGTCGTCCACAAGGACCTGTGCGCCACAAGTCGCCAACAAATATGCATGGCCCTCAGTAGTTCGAGGTATCACAACGAGTTGAGCCTGGCGTGCTTCCTCCTCCGCTTCCTTCTGAACACCTTGTCGCAAAATTTCCTCGGCACCCTGTTTCGTCTTGCTAAACCCCAGGTATCGGCCACGCAGCAGCGCCATGAATCCAGAGTTGACTTTGGCGACCTGGCCCGTGCCAGGCGAAGTCCTCTTCTTCTTGCCCTTGTGCTCCTTGAGGAACTTAACGTCGGTCGCAGTGAGTTCCGGTTCGGTTTCCAGATCGGCAAGATCGTCCTTACCCTCCTCCCGCAGCTTCTGGATCCTCGCCGCCTTAGCCGCTTGAGCAGTCGGAAACGTTCCCAGCGACTTACCCCGAAGACGGGCAGTGTAACCAGAGCCGGTGGAGTTCTTCGTGACGCCAGTGAATCCTGCATTAGACCTTTTTTTGCGAGTGACATTGAGGGCGTTATCACTTGCACTGAGAAGACGAAGATTTGACAGAACATTGTTCAAACGGTTCTGGTCAATATGATCGACGACAAAGCCTGAAGTAGTAGATAAAAAGACAAAGAAATCGGTAAGCTGGACGGTATAGAGCCCCGGCGCCGGAGGGGGGGGGGGGGGGGGCGGGGGGTGGGGAAGTAATGAAGCGGACTTGCCTTTTGGAACCGGGTGAGGAAAGACGAGCCTGTGAAGCGACTTGATAACGAAATCTTGAGATGAGGATTTCGAGCGAACTTGAGCGTAGCCGTAGGTATCGCAATAGATGTGGTTTTCGTTGAAGATGTTGGCGTTGCAAGCCGAAACCGTAACAACAACCTCACCATCCTTCGTTACGATTGTCTTCGACACACTTCCTTCCTCTAAGGTGGCAGGGGGACGCTGGCGACCGGGAGAGCAAGACATGGCCGAGAAGAGAGAGGAGAGCGAGGCCGAAGAACTAGGAGGAAGGCCGAAAGCGGAAAGAGAGGAGAGGGATCTGGAGACGGAGTGAGGGGGGAGGGGGGGGGGCGGTGCGATGGACTTTGGAGCCATCAGCATCATAGACGACAGGCAGGTATATATAAGTTCATTGCAACGGAAAGTCTCACACGGAGTCGCTTTAGGGACGATTCTCTTTGAGGACGACGTCTGGTTGTGAATGAGCTGGTACTATGGCAACATACAGTTGCCCATGCGCTCAGGGCTTCTCCTTTGAATGCGACCAAAAACTTTCCGATCGCCAAATTGAGAACCACGCTCAGTTCTGCTGCTGCCAGACCTATTCCTTCACTTTTCGAGAACACAGCTGGTGCATAGATGATCACGATATAGCAAAGCGAAAATTCAGCCCTTGTGTCATGGCGTTTTTTCTCACGCCGATGTTGGTGGCTTTGAATAGCATATACATGTAACGAAGTTGACCCAGGCGTGCGGCGGTTGCATTCTTGGCGGTGGCTATCTCGCTGACCATGTCAGCGACGAACAGTGAACAAAGATTTACAGCTTGCGGCCATCTCGGCATCGGTATTGCTATGTCAAATAAGTCAAAGGGCGGAAAGCGAAGCCATCACAACGCCAGCGGCGATTGCACACGAGAGCAAAGCTGGCGCTGATGCAACTCGACAGCTGCAAGCCAAAGCGGCGGTCCCGGCCTTTGCGCTCATTGCTACGGGAATCTAGACTTTCGCGCTATTGTCACACATCTTGGAAGCAACGCACCCGTTTCAGTCGCGATTCAGGCTTGAAACGCATGTAAGCTCAACGCAGAACATTCGACGATAGCAAAGCTGGGCGTGCTGTGCCAAGTTTCGCGGCTTGAAGCGCATTTGAGCACAACGTAGCGTCCAGACAATTCTATTGGCAATGTTTGACGGGCTGTCAAATTTGGCTTGACGCGCATTTAGACTCAAAGTGAGGCCGCCTGAGTCTTCGGGAAATTCAGTCTTTGCAGCATATGATCGTAATTTACGGCTTCGTTCATGCCGAATGCCGAGCTTGACGTCTGACAGTGAGTGGCGTAGTCATTGCCCAACAGCAACGATGCACGCCCACCACCGCACTGGCCTCTTAGTGGCGCAGTCGCAGCTTCACCGCCACAATGCACGCGTTCCGGGAATTTACGTTGCGTATTCCAGCGCACTGGCCTCGTGGTGGCGTCCCCCGAAGATGCATCTTCGCCTTCGAAGATGGAGCTTCGAAGCTTTATCTCGAGGTTCGAAGCTACCGTGCGCCACAGCGCCGTCCGCTTGAGCAACGCAGAGCCCATTCATTCGCACACATCAAACGCTCAACGAGCACCCTCTGTTTTGCGGCATACATGTAAATTGATTTAACGCGAAGTGAAAATAATTTTGTGATTTCGAAATTGAGTTTTGAGCTCGTCTGCAGTTCGTGCGAGCGCATTCAACATGCGCAAAAAATACAATTAAAAAAGGCCACAAAAATGCTCGAGCAAGGTGATATAGGTCTATGCGCCAACCAGTTTTGTCTCAACAGAACGGACTCATTGCAGCTCGTTGTCTTGCAGGAGGGAAGTTCGCGCCAAAGAGGCTTGAGCAACCATGGCAGGTGTGGCAATTGTGGCGTGTGTTGCTAGTGTGGCTGGTGACACGGACCGCCGCTTGAGCAGGATATATTCTATGCGCTGATCAATTTTGTATCAATGAAACTGTACAATTGCAGCGTTGCCTCGGCGAGGAAAAGCCGGTGTCAAAGAGGCTCGAACAGTCATGCTTGATGTGGATATTGTGGCTGACGTTGCTTGGCTTGCATGAGGTTGCCACGGACCGACAATGGCGTGTGTCACGTTGTTGCTCAGTGTATCGATTCCAAGCGCAATGCTGTGATGAGAGCTGTGAGACCAGCGCCGACGTCAAACTGCCAAAGCGCTCGCTGGTAGTAGCCTTACTGTCGACGGACACACGTCTGCTGCAATGAGTCGTCGTTCTCACAGCGCTGCAATGATCTGTTGGTCTTGTAGCTAGTATAGCATTGTACGAGACTCAAGCAAGGCTGAAAAAAGGACATATATACTCTGCAATTCTCGATCTTTCGACTGATCTTCTCATTCTTTACACAGCAAGCTTTTCCCCTTCGGTAGCCCCCCCTCCCTGTCTCTTCTGGCTCTTCGACCATGCCTGACTCCTTTGCACACTCGCTCTCCCCCATCGTGGAAGAAGGAAGTATCTCTCGACGCATTGGCGACGTTCTTGTCACAGTCTCTGCCTGCAATGCCGACGTTTTCGACAACTTTCATCTTTACACCATTGCCAACGGATTCATTTTGACCAGCCCAAAGCTTGGTTGTGGAGGTAGTATTTCTCTTCAGCGCCGAGTCTACGCCGGGCCGATCCCCCCTGGTAAGTTTGCTTCTTTCTTTTTTTGCCTTCATCTTCGGCCCGCACAGCATTTCACTGACATCGTCCTTTTTTCCTTCTTACTTCGAAGGTTTTGTCGTCGACCACGTCGATCGGAACCCTCTCAACAACGTGTTGTCCAACCTGCGCCTCCGCCTCCTGGAACGGCGCACCAATCTGCTTGTTGTGATGGGCGAGAAACGCCCTAGGGTCATCAGTACAAGGATGACTCCTGTTTTTATATCTAAACGCCGATTCCACGAAGTCGAAAAGGCTGCGCACTGGCGCCAGAAGAAGGTGGCCGAGAACTTCAACAAGGCTCGCCCTGCCACCACAAAGGCCGAGGAAAAATAAC